ATTTCATTCATATTTTATAATTTTTTTAGTACCTATGAGAGTTCGAAATATAACAAAATTACAGTAGTCCTGCAAAAGCATATCTTTGGATCAAAGACCTCCCACAGCGTCGCGACTTCAATTCTCCGACTAATTTGATCAATTTCAGACATTCATCGAGTTTAAACGCAAATAATCGCACGTATTCATTCTGTGATTGTTTCTACGAGTGAAGCACACCAACGTACACAATATTATTCTTCTGTATACTTACAAATATCATTATCCATCCTTGATTTCACTTATAGTCGTACTTGGAAAGTCACTGAATATTCTTCATTTACATGTTTTATTAAAGTACGTAAACTTAGCACATGCACAATATAATTGTATATAGTCCAGCTAACACACTGATAAACACATTATATTAAGCAATTTACATTTTCTTTCAATACTAAATGTATTGGTATCTACATAAATAGTTACTGTTCATGTGAATTAAGCAGCATGATTTACTTCTTTTATCACGATGTCAATGAACGTATTTAAGTAGGTATTAAGAGCTTGTAAACAATCTTAATATCACTCGTTATAAGAAATATATTACACAATTATTATTATGCATACTAAGGATTATGTAAAATTGAATATTCTTTATTTAATTAATAATGAGCACAAGTTCGCGTGACCTTTTTACACCGACGAATTATAAATCGAAATACGTATGCATATGTACATAGTTGACTCGTACGCGCAGATCAATTTCACTTAATGACAGTTTACTGAATAGCACAATATAATACAATGAATTCACGTATAGATTTCATTAACAAGGAACAACCTCGTTCGGAGCAGTCTTTCGTCGCACTGTAAGGTGTCGAGAAGCTTGCCTGGTAAGCGATCTTCTTTTCGAAAGTCAGCGCCGACGCATCAAATATCAAATTCGAACATCAAAGAATGAACTTCATATTGCAATTTGAAATATATGCATCTGACACTAAAACTTCACCACAGATGAAAAACTCGTCTAGCTATAATACTCGTACTCGATTTCAAAACGTTACAAAATTTATTTACTTAGAGTTTCTTTAAATGTTTCGAAGAGACGTTTCAAAGCTTCACGCACAAAAATATGCTTCAAAGAATTAAATTACACATCTGATTGAAATGTTTCAAGGTTTACGTGCACTCGTCGCTGTTCCTACACGATATGGACTTACTAAAAATATCGTACTGCTCTAAAAATATCGTCACATGAAAATTATAAACTCAGAATGGTACACAAAGAGTGACGTCCGTTGACATTAAAAAATTTTACATGTCTAAAAAGTTTTATTTAAATGAATATATATAGTCAGTAAAATATACTTGTTAATATAGTCAGAATGAATAGATATCCTAAACATTCGAAAAAAACATACTAAATAAAAGAAGATAAAAATAAGAATTTTAGTCAAACATTTTTAGTACGAATTCGTGTGCATATTGCAATTGCTGAAAAATCAGTAATTTAGTAACACGTTCGAAAATAAAGACCAGAAGTACCATTCAAGAAATTCCCGAGGTCAGTACATACTTCACAAGTTCGTCGATGTGATAAGGCACATTATTGACAGCATTCGGTAATATTTGATTTCGGGCTATTAAAGAGAGGAAACGTGAATACAATACTCAGTAATTGAACAATTTAAATTGAATGCAACTGTGTGACAACAATATGATTTCTTTGTACATTACATGTCACGATTTATTATATTCCAAGGCAAAGTAAAACACGTTATGAAACGTGCGCTCGGACAGTTAATCATCTTTATTTATAATTCCGTAAATGAAATGCATAGCGTCAGTAGGAAGCACACTTGTCTATGAAATGTAAGAAATGTATGTTTCACGAATTCTATTTCTATATAATATGAATGTCAATACAATATATTAATACTTTCTCGTATAAGTAAGAATATGTAAATGAGTGACTTCGAACACGTGTCTAACAAAACAAAGTAGAGCAGTTTTATTTTTGAAATATATAAATGTTTACTTACCTTTGATAGAAGATATTTGTTCCTCAACACTTTCACCTTCTCGCGGATCTTCTTCGATGTGGACGACCCAACGAATTTTTCTCGGTTGCATCTAGAAAAATGTACAACTTCTTTTGATGGAGAAAACAAAATTTGGTTCGCGGTGACTCATTACGCGCGTAACATTGAACTGCACTAGTGTTCGACAATCAGTAGTTTACACTGCTTTTAAAGTCGACATGCCGGTATCGGTAACGATTATTTTTTACGAATAGTGTTTACAGATGATACGAGTAGAAATAGATTTCCTCAATCGTAATTTCAGTCTCCGCTTTCACATAATTGTGTAGGATACTAAATTAGACAATGTTTGAAAAGATTGTATTTTGTTTACAATTAATTGTGACAAAACCTTGCGAAAATGCGAAACACTGTATTATTATTCGATTTTTAATCTTATCCTTCATCTTTATAACGCAACGGGATTTCAATATACGAACATTGCTGATTAGATGATAATGATTAGATATGTCGTAATCATGAATCAAATTAGTTTTAATTATCGTCCTGCTCACGTAACCCAGTGAACGCACGTACTATATTTAATTACCTCAAACGCTGCCGAAGATCATTGAGAAAATATTTATAAACACGGTGTTAATGAGATCGCGACTGAATACACTATTGCGAAGAATAGCCGTTTCGCACTGACAATGATTTGTCTATCAACGGATGTGACACTGTATTGAAGCTATCTGGCGGTTCGCTGCATCCGTGCTACGATCATGCGTGCTCGAACGTTGACTTTTACTAACAGGAGAATTGTCAGAACTTTTACACCCACGAACTTGTTAGTTAACGTGTGTGAACGATCAGAGGTTTCGTTCAAGAGATATTCTGACACGCGCGAACCACACTCTTAAATTCTCCTCTGTCATTAACTGAACACCATTCACTGCCAGTCCCTTTAACACGCAACCTACCAGCGCTATAAGGAAGATTGAAATAGATCGAACTCAATATTGATCATATTTGTTATAATCTACAATCTAATTCTGTAACAATATTTACTACCATTTAACATCATTGTAAATCGTTAAAACAAAACTACCACTATTCAAGTATATTTAAAGAATTATATTGAGTTAGTTTTGTAATTAAGTATGAAATTAGTAAAATTGATATACATATATTAAATGCGTAAAATGCAAGTTTAACCAATTCATTTTACAATTTTAGAAAAGCATTAAAGGCATTAAAACGATACTATTTTGATATCTGTACATTATGAAATGAAATAGTTCAAAAATTGAGGTACGTACTTAATATATTACATTAACAATGGTTATCTTTCTACTTGCAAAATATCGAAGTTAAAAATCGCAAACATAAATTGACGTGTATAATTGATCAAACTATCGAACCACGCATGCGTACAAAATCAAATATGATCAGAACTATAAAGGTGTGTTTCCACATCGACGAGAAAAACATGTAATAAATAAAATAAATATGAGTACCCCAGAAATTTCCTGTCTTCGACATATGCATATTGTTCTCGAACTCATTGTCAGTGTTCGTGAAGAGATAGAGCAATGATTATAAAATATTTGTGTAATTAGTGACTTACTAGATTGCTAGTAACAAATGGAATCTAACACTGCCTACTAGAAAAGAAATAAAATCCCCGACCTAGAGCTAACGGAACGATAATCAGCAACTCGACTAATAATGTTCAAAATATGTTTATGACATTCAATTATAATTGATCAAAAGTTAGAGATTGGTTTGGTGGTAGGGATGATTAATATTTCATTGGTCTACAGAGAACGAGTCTCACTTTTCTTGGCGTAGATGGCGCTTCACATTCAGGTTGTATCAGGGAAATACTTACCTGTCTGTCAAATTTTAATTAAAAGAAAAATTTCTTATTCTTACTAAGAAAGGAGTTGATTGTTCTTGTTACAATAGAGCACCTTTTTATTTATACGTTTAATTATCTGTTACACTAACTTGTCATCTTTCATTTACATAATATGAAATATTGAATCAAAATCCACTTCTAAATTAACGATCATGTGTGCACAATTCGTTCCAATTTTAATGATCACGATTATAATATAATGTGTAAACCAATTAATTCATATGGTAATGTCTCTTTTTAGAAATCAAGCTGAATCCTATGTTATTATGAATTACATAGACTATATAGAAGTCAAAAACGTGCACAGGCAGGCCGATATATGTTATTGTTGAGTGTACCAGTGGTAATCAAGATCATTCACAAATGTTTGCCTTCACTAACAATAATATAGATATGTGTGCACATATGTAACATGTATATGTGTATATGTATTCCTCTAAGTTTTGCTGCATTATATGGTTGAGCACTACTGAACAATTTGATCTCCAACTAAGTATTCACTGATTATGGAATGGAAACAGATCAAATATTTCAATGTCAACTGATCTTATCTAGTATCACAGCAGAACATATCCTATGTGGCAGCATTAAGCAGAATCAAGAAACAATTCTTCAAAACATTGATAAACATATATGAATTTTTATTCACACGTAACTATTTTTATGTAACTGCTTCAAAAATATTTTTCCTTATACATAATTGTGGGATAATTACCTGTATCTACATACCTGTATAATATGTATACATCTTTATCAAGCTGTTTCACTGTACTGGTTAATTGTATGTTTGTATAAATACATGTTATCAGTTCAGTGATTTATTAAAGCATTCCTTATCTGAAGCAGTTTTACACTCTGCGTTCATATTGGAAATAGGTGATGTTGCAATTATGAACGAGCACACATTCCCATGTGTTGAAAGTTGAGATACAAGTAAATCAGTAATCAGTTAATAGTGAACAGTGAATGCTAATAGAAGGTATCAATCTCTAACATATTTATATTGTTTGTTCATTTTGGTAACAATTTCTTATGATCTATTGTTAGTATTTAATAGTGCACATATCGAAGTGTATGTACTTATATAAATATATGCTTAAAGGACATCGTTCAAAGTTCTTGATGTGTGTTGTTTTATTGAAAGTATTACACGAGAAATAAGAGCAGAATTAAGTTTACTTAAAAGTGTACATAAATACTGCCATAAGATGTTACAATTAATTGTGATTGAAATCCAATTTTCTACTAAAGGTCATTAACAGCAATTATACAACTGCGTCTCTTATTTGCCATATTCTGATTAAACTAGTTATTAAAAGTAAGACACATGTAAGAATAATAGTGAATAATAAGTGTGTTGATGTGTAAAGTGCTGAAAGATTAAGAATACAAGATGCCAGGCACTTTAACATACCCAATATATGCTGGAATGGCATCACCTCCTCGAAGAACACGTTCTTATTCCTGGAATACTCAATACCGCTCTGCATCTCGGGTTTTAGAAGTTAATGCAAGACCAGGAAGAGTTTCATTGGCAGAGCAACCTACAGTACACGTAAATAATTATATTCAGTTATATTTTTGGATCTAAGTTATACCCATTATGTTAACATTCTTGCTTAGAATTGAATTATTCTTATCATTGTCGTATCTTATCTCATTCAGAAATCGAATTATTATACATATTGTTTTAATCCTCTTATCACTGTAAATGACCATTCTGATATTAAGACAATATATGAATTATCGGAGAGTACTACAGGAAAAAATGCATTACAAACGGTGTGAGTCACTTTTTGCGTGTTTCGATTGAAAATTTATGACTGTATACTTTAGAATGCAATTACATTTAAAAACGCAATACTTCTGATTTCGATAACATTGTTCAACATTATTTTACATGCGATGAGAGAAATCTCCGCTTATAAAAATTCGGAGAGATGTTCGCACGCGCATTAGAAGTGACGTATTCCTCGAAACGTGACTACAAATTTTTGTTGCTTTCCACATTGATTAAATCACGAAGAATGTGACGTATAGAATGTATATTACATTGTCTCGTGGATATTTTCTTTACTCATGTTGAAAAAATTAGATTTTAATCGCATTTGAATATTTAAAAGGAAGTTAGCCATTTTTAAACGCGAGTATGTCATATCCGTTTTGTTCATGCAATAGTGACGGAGGGGGGTTAAGACAAAATAGGTTTCTTCATGGCATATAAGAAACTGTGAACCTCGTTAAATTGTAAGAAACTGTGATCGACGATTAGAAAAAAACCCTTTACACCTAACGTTAATGGCAGAGAACCATGCTTACGGATATAATCCGACGCCCGGAGCTGATGGGGAACCTGTACGTAACTATTTTGACAGTTTGACAAGTATAGGTTGGATTTTTGATTGATAGACTTTAGAAAGGGTGTTACTTTCAGAAAGTTGTTAATTTTGTGATTAGTAACATCGTTGCATCGATAATGAAATTTTTATATTTCCGATAATTGAAGATTGATATTCTTTTACACATTTTTCTATCCAGATGCATTAATAATGATCTTATTAATTGGAATTTATTAATAATATTGGTATTGCATATCTGCATACATAGAACCACACTTGGAAAATGTTCCTTTTTGACATTTCACGTGTATCATTTTATTATGTGTCATCTCATAATATTTTCTATTTAGTAACTCCAACTTAATGAAATTTACACTTCTTAAGTAGTGTGCTGTACCATAATTTTGAAGAAACAATTTAATTGTGTATGTGATTTTATTTTTATCATCATTTGAAGTGACGATTTCTCATCATTTTTTACTTGGCATTAAAAATTACATCATGGTAGTAACCATATAATTTCATGTTTTTCTTACACAGAGAGAAGATGCTACCAGCAAGCTGAGATTGAAAGTGATCGCTGGACACCATTTAGCAAAGAAGGATATTTTTGGTGCCAGCGATCCATATGTACGTGTCGACTTAAATACTATCAGTGGTGATCAAACAATAGACTCAGCACTCACTAAAACTAAGAAAAAGACTGTGAATCCTGTCTGGGAGGAAGAATTTATATTTAGAGTAAGTTTAGTATATTTTTTTTTTTGTATTAAGGCAAATGGAAAATATTAATGAATATGTGATTTATCATTAGGTTAAACCTATTGAACACAAATTGGTGCTACAAGTATTTGATGAAAATAGGTTGACGAGAGATGATTTTCTTGGAATGGTAGAACTAACATTGATCAATGTACCTAAAGAGCAAGAAGGTCGTACGATTCCTGCTAGGCGTTATTGTCTTAGACCACGTAGGTAAGTACATTTATATAATATGCTTAATGCTGAGTACTTTCATATTTTAACGTTTAATATGTTCAGCTTCTAAATTGTTTTCGAACTACAAATGTATTATGTAAAATATTTAATAATCGTTTATTGTTTGTCATTGCTCTTATTTACGTGTGCACTGTTATAATATTTTTAATTAGTTCGTCCTTTTCATCACGTTTAGTGGCCATACATCACTGATTTTTATAATTAGTTCATTCAAATATTTGTTTCGTATTTTTCATTTGCGAATGCAAAATGATTAACTTACGAGGATATGGCTAGTAATCATTCCAGTCAGCGTTCGAGAGTGAAGGGTACCTTGGAAGTATACCATGCATACATTTCGGATTCATCAACTGTGGAGAATGACAATGGAGATACTGCATCTGACTCGGGAGGATGGGAGATAGTGCAACCAGTTAATAGTCCGGTGGAGCAGGCTGCGGATGTATGCATAATTATGTTTATGATTTGAAAATCATAAAAATTCTTTACCAGTATATGCAAAATAATATTTGAACGAAATATTTTTATAGATAATGATGAACAGGCCTCTGCCACCAGGATGGGAAGAAAGACAAGACGCAAACGGACGAACGTATTACGTTAATCATATAGCAAGATTTACGCAATGGGAACGTCCAACAGAATCGTATGTATCGAATATTACCCATGTTTTCTCGTAAATATACATGTGATGTTAAAATATTCCCATTTATTTGTAGCACTACTACACCTAGTGGAAATATGGCAATGGAGCGAATGTTTGATAATGCAGCTACTGAATTTCAACGACGTTACCACATTAGCGCGGATGAAGATAGACATAGAAGTTCGATTCAGGTAATATCATGATATTTATTATCATTTGTATGAGGAATGTCTCAAATAGTCTGAACTTTTATTGTTTAAGTAATTGTATTGCTACAAAATACTCCATTCCATCTATTTCAAAATTTACATAGATTAAATGTGTGTAAGGATTTACGCACACACGCACAAAACGTATGACTTACGACTTTACGTAATCTTTACGAGTTTGCTTCATAACGTAAAAGTAGGATAGGATTGACGATAAGACTTTTCATGCTTTTTATGTTCATGTCTTTAACGTATATAATAAATTATTAATATTGTAGTGTTAATAATAATAACAAAGAACTAAATTATATTTTAATTATCAGTATGTGTTTTCATATACTATAATTATCATTATGTTGCAATGTATGACCATACGAGTGATTCATTAATTCATATCATTTTGCATGAATTATTGAAGTGAAATAATATTATGTATCTTTTAATGTCCAAGCTTTATAATAATCTTCTAACAAATGTAATAATTAGCATGCAAAATGTAGCAAATCTTGTGCATGTGTGTGTAAGGATGGTGAAGTTCTACGCGAGGAAAACGAGGATTCTGACGCGAGAGATTATGAGATTGAGAGTCATAGGGGAGGGTTTAGTGGGGATACATCTTCAGACTCCGGACGTTCTGTTGATCAACGTGGCTACCTTAGTGAATATGAAGACCAGGTACTCATCTATAAACATATAACGCTTTGTTCATATTGAAGAAATAAAGCTTATATAAAATTCACAAGAAATGTGTGTTCCTCATTGAGAAAATAAACGTTTATATCACCTTTTTCTTAAACGCAATCCAAGAGTTGCGAAACTTCACCATATAACTGTATTACAAATTGATAGTCTTGAAACTTATGTTGATTTAATATCCTTTGAATGTACCTTTTCCTAATTTTCGTATCTAATATGCACGATTCTGATTAATGTACTACGTACTAACATAGTAACGATAAATTTGTAATGTATTAAGAGAATGTTAACACCACCGTAAATTTCCGTATTGTACATAGACTATTACACAAGCGAGTTTGTTATGAGAACTTTTAAAACATGTAAAATTTTATTTTTTATGTGAATATGTGTTAATATTATACTTGCAGAGTGATGAAACCGTGGACAGTCCTGCTGGATCTAGGCGATCATCTGAACAAGTTAGTATTATTGCATTATGAATATTTATGATGTATGAATATTTTGTTTTAATTTATTGCTATTATTGCATGTTCAGATTGAAAGTCCGAAACCTACAATTCCGTTAAGTGATGAAGGATTACCACCTGGATGGGGTATGCAAATAGCTCCGAACGGTAGAGTATTTTTTATTGATCATACTGCAAGGACAACAACATGGATCGATCCCCGAACAGGACGTCCAAGTTCGATACCTAATCATATTGCTCCTGCAACGACACCAAGAAGTGATTTGGATCAACTTGGCCCGCTTCCCGAAGGTTGGGAAGAACGAGTTCATACGGACGGACGGATATTTTTCATTGATCATAGTACGTCAAGATTTTATTAAGTGTTGAAAAATTTGAAAATAATAGTTTTTATTCTATATTTTTGTTTTTCTTTATAGACACAAGAACAACGCAATGGGAGGATCCACGTATGTCTAATCCTCAAATTGCTGGACCGGCTGTACCATATTCGCGAGATTACAAACGTAAATACGAATATCTTAAGTCTCAATTAAGGAAGCCTGTAAGTATACGATACTGAAAAAAGTTTCTTGGTAAATTCGTTCCTTCTTTATTGTTGACTCTTTGAATTGTTCTTTCAGAATAATGTTCCTAACAAATTCGAAATAAAAGTTAGCCGAAATAATATTCTAGAAGATTCGTACCGCATTATCAGTTCAGTCAACAGAGTAGAAATATTAAAGACAAAATTATGGGTTGAATTTGAAGGGGAAGTCGGTTTGGATTACGGCGGTCTTGCGCGCGAATGGTTTTTCCTACTTTCTAAAGAAATGTTCAATCCTTATTATGGATTGTTCGAATATTCTGCTACGTAAGTATACAGACATCTTTTACATGACGTAATATATATAGAAATGAAGTAATGATTAATACTTTATAGGGACAATTACACTTTGCAAATTAATCCGTTCTCGGGAGTATGTAATGAAGAACATTTAAATTACTTCAAATTTATTGGTCGCATAGCGGGCATGGCTGTTTACCACGGAAAACTGTTAGACGGTAAGAAGTATTTTAATTATATCGAGAGTATTAAACATTTCTTAAAGAGATGGTGTGTGTGTAAATAAAATTGTAATTTCTTTTCAGCATTTTTCATTCGACCCTTTTATAAAATGATGTTGGCTAAACCTATTGATTTAAAAGATATGGAGAGCGTTGATTCCGAATATTATAATTCGTTATTATGGATCAAGGAGAACGATCCCAGTGAATTGGAACTTACATTTTCTGTCGATGAAGAAAGTTTTGGACATACATCTCAAAGAGAGTTGAAACCGGATGGTGCTAATGTACCATTAACAAATGAAAATAAGGATGAATATATCGCTTTAGTTATACAATGGCGTTTTGTCTCAAGAGTTCAAGAACAAATGAATGCATTTTTGGAAGGTTTTAATGCTCTTATACCACCAACGTTGGTAAAGATATTTGACGAACACGAATTAGAATTGTTGATGTGTGGTATTCAACATATTGATGTACGAGACTGGAAACAGAATACATTGTACAAAGGAGACTATCATGCTAATCACATCGTTGTTCAGTGGTTTTGGCGAGTAGTGCTTTCATTTAGTAACGAGATGAGATCCAGACTTTTACAGTTTGTAACTGGTACATCAAGAGTACCGATGAATGGTTTTAAAGAACTTTATGGTAGCAACGGACCGCAATTGTTTACGATTGAAAAATGGGGTACTCCAGAAAATTATCCAAGAGCTCATACTTGGTAAGTGTGTAATTTTAAGTCAACGTGAAACGTTTAGATTTGAAATATTTAAAACACAATAATTAAATTGAGATATTTATAATTTGAAAATTCTATCCCGGTTTCAGTTTTAATCGTATTGATTTACCACCTTACGAAAGTTATCAACAACTCAGGGAAAAATTGGTAAAAGCGATTGAAGGTTCTCAAGGTTTTGCTGGAGTGGATTAGCACGAAATACCCCTTTTCATGATGATATCTGTAATATAATGTACATATATACAAACATATGCATACATACCAATGTATACTATCTAATATGATTAACTATTTAACAGGATATACATTTTTCTGCACTCTGAAGACTTAGATATCTTTTGACTGCTCGTTACGACATTGAGACAAATCGGTGAAAAGTACGTTTAGATATTACTTAAAATACTATCAATAATTAACAAAAAAATGTTACGCATGATGCACTTT